TCAATTCCAGGACCCCAGAATCATGACCTGAACTGAGCGCAAATGCCTAACTGAGCCACACAGGTGTCCCTGTTCCTTTCTTTTTTAAATACAAGAAAGAATTTTATCAAAAACATTATTTTTCTCCTTTGACCCACCAATGCTCTCTATTAGCTTATTTCCTAACATCATAACTTCCATCCACTACTGAACTTCCATTATTAAATCTACCTTATTAGGATGGATTCTTTTTTTTTTTTTTAAAGATTTTATTTATTTATTCATGATAGAGAGAGAGGCAGAGACATAGGCAGAGGGAGAGGGAGAAGCAGGCTCCATGCAGGGAGCCTGATGTGGGATTCGATCTCGGGTCCTCCAGGATCGCGCCCTGGGCCAAAGGCAGGCGCTAAACTGCTGCGCCACCCAGGGATCCCCCAGGATGGATTCTTTTAAAAACTGTTGAATTTGGTATGTGCACTTAACCTATATATTTCTTAGTGATTTTTTAATTGAGAAAATGAACATTTAATAAAACAAATTGAGTAGTGTTCCAAAATTTAGGTTGTTTCCTGGAAATTTGTAAGAATCCATGGGTAAACTCTGTTGCTCTAGACCCTTGCAGGGAGTTTCTTGGAAACATTTTCAGTTCTTTCCACAGCCAATTTAAGTTTTCTATCTTTACTTGATTTAATTTTATTTTTATTTCTCAGGGGAAAATGTCCAAATTTTTTATAGATAGTATTTTCTTATCCAGAGTCTCCACTATGTATATTACATCACTTTTTCCAATTTTAAGTGTTTTCTTTTCCTTCTGATTTTTTTTAAGATGTTATTTATTCATGAGAGACACAGAGAGAGGCAGAGACATAGGGAGAGGGAGGAGCAGGCTCCCTGTGTGTAGGGGGATCCTGATGTGGGACTCTATCCGAGGACCCCTGGGATCACGACCTGAGCCCAAGGCAGACACTCAACCATGGAGCCACCCAGATGTCCCTTTTTCTTAATTACCCAGAATAACATCTTTTACTGACAAAATAGTAGAATACAGAACTAGTTATTGTATCTATTTGCCAATTCTGCTTTCTTTTTCATGTCATAATCTCCTACATTTATATTTTTGTTCTAATTTTCCTTATTTTTTTTAACTCTGACAAATGCTGATTTTTTCTTTTCTTATTTTACATAAACACAAAGCATTATAAATATGCCATTAAGTAAACTGGCAAATGGGTCTCAAATCTAAGACTACAGGGCCAAAGATTTGAAGTCCTTTCAGAGTTCTGAGATTAGTGAAAATTTCTTTGAACTTCATGTTTTATCTCTTTAAAAAAAAATGTGGCTTTTTATATTCTACTCCATGTGTTTTAATAGAAATATCATTTTTTCTTAGGGTATTAAAGCAAAGTTGGTTGACAACTGCAGAGGGAAGATGGATTATATTTAGTTAGTGGTTACATCCTGCAGCATGTGCACAGATCCCTAAGAGTAAACGTGTTCTGAAAAGCTTTGGCTATACCCCACTAGCTTTATATAATTTATTACATTTTAGTCTAAGGTTTTATTTTTGCATTAATAAATGCTTTCTTGGTTAAAGAAATCAATTTGTCAAGTGTAAGAAAGGTACTATTGTCTAATTTATATAAAAATATATCTGACTAAAAATGAAAAGGCAAGGAAGATAGCTTTCATTTTTAGATTGTGATATAGCTCTGAGTGTTTAATTGTATATTGTCCAGGTAAATTAATAGCAACTCTATAGTTCTTTAGAAAGACATTTTTATTTTCAAACAATTGTTTCTGATTAAAAACTGTATTAATAACTTTCAGATGTACTATGGTATGGATAGATTTCATGATCTATATAATTCTGGCTTTTAAGAATTTTCTGAGATTTTCTATAGTCTAATCAATGATTTTGTATACAAGTTCTATCACATTTTTAAAACTTTTCTCTAAGGTACCAAATTTTATTAACTAAATTTTCCTAATTATTCCTTATTTTTAGTTATTCCAACTTAAGATTTACATTAACATTTCACATACTGATTAATTTATAACATTAATGACTTTTTAACACTGGAATTTAGTTTTTGCCTTGAATTGCTTAAATTCATTTTTTTAAAGATTTATTCATGAGAGACAGACAGAGAGAGAGAGAGATAGAGAAAGAGAGAGAGAGAGGGAGAGAGGCAGAGCCAGCAAGAAGTAGGCTCCATGCAGGGAGCCTGATGTGGGACTCTATCCCGGGTCTCCAAGGATCACACTCTGGGGCTGGGCCGACAGCAGGCGCTAAACTGCTGAGCCACCCAAGGATCCCCGCTTAAATTCATATTGCAAACCCTGCTTTATACTTAATTTTGCCTGATATGACTCTGTGTACTCATTATATTCATTTTGATTCTCCATTCATTGCTTCCTAATATCATTTGCTAATCAACTGTAGTACATTTTCATAAACTTGTAAGTGACATATATGTTCCTTTTTTTTTTTTTTTTTTTTTTTTTATTGTTCTACTGGTCTATTATCTTGGCCGGTCCTAGATTTGTTTTAACTTTTCCTCTGGAAGTCTATGACACTGCTACACTGCTTCCTCATGTTCAGTGTTAACGCAGAAGTCTGAGACCAGTTAGACTTTTATTTCTTGGTAAATTTTTGCTTTCCCAACTGCTTTTAGGCCACATCCAACTTGCATAAGTGAAGTTACTGCCTATTTCCCAGGTATGTCCTGTAGCTTTCCACCTTCAGTTTGACCTACTTATTGTCCTTTTCTTTTTGGAAAATACCATCTATCAGGAACCAATTCAATTGCTCTTGGAGCCATTGCTCCAAGACACATTTCCAGGATTCATTAGTCAGAATTAATCCATCTTTTATCTAAATTTATGAACTGCTACCTAGTGTATTATTGAACAATATATACCAGAGTGGTTATAAGTAGGTTCTGGAGTTAGATCACCAGGGCTCAAATTTCAACCCTGCAACATTCTAGTTATATATATGATCTTCAATAAGGTATTGGTTTTTCTGCGCCGTTAACTCATCTGCAAAATGGGAATAGTACCTAGATTCTGGAATGTTTGTGATTAACTGAGGTAATCTATGTAAAACATCTAGACCAGGGTCTAGAATACAGTAAGTGCTATATGAGTTCCTGACATGTTTGTACAGGTATGTATGTATGTGGTATGTGTTCCCCATTTGGAATTAGAAAAATTATTACAAGAGAATGAAACAGGTGCTACCAGAAGTGTTAAGTATTCAAAGGATGGGATAATTAAACACAATTAAATATAATCAGCTTAGGGAAAGCAATGGCATTTCAACTGAATCCTAAATATTTTAATTACATAGAATTTTAAATCACTTTTGAATGCATTAGTTCATTTAATCCTTAAACTCCGTAAGATGATTTTGTTTTATGGGGGCAGAAATAAAGGATGGTAGCTCAAAATGCCCAAGGTGCAGAGTTAGGACGTGAAAGCTAAGATTAAGAGAGGTATCACTGTGCTTGGAGCTCAGTAGAGTTGCTCACTATACATCTGCATTTTTCCATTAAAGACAAATGGGAATGCAACACATGGATTGAACACACAGGACCAAAGCTAGAAAGCAATATTGCAAGCTCTTGAAACTGCTTAACCAAAAAATGGTGGTGTGAAATTACATGGCTTTCTGGGTAAACTGACAATATGTGCTAAAGATGGAACATAACACAGTGCCTTGCAAAGGAAGTCTTTGGCTGAATAGCATCTTTCAGATGCTATTCCTTCAGTTTAGCAATCATTTATGGCAATAATCCCTAGGCTTCCAGTTGAGGAAGCTACCAATCAATATAACTGTGGCCTCTGTCTTGAAAGAAAGGGGAGAGGAAGGGAGGAGAGGAGAGGGTAAGGGAAGGTAGGAGGGAAGGAAGGAAAGAAGGAAGGAAGGTTGGTTATCTGTCATATGACTGCAGTACCTAATGGGGTGTTGTTTTAAATATTCACAACAGGAGGTCATGTAAAATAATGAGCATGATTATACTAAGGTAATTCTTCTCACTAAAAATGTTCTGAATGAATCTTAATTCTCAACAAAATTAACAATTTTACTCACAACTGATTTTGAAACATAGCAAACCCAGTTTCCTAATCTTTGTGATAGAGCAAAACACAAAATATGTTAATACTACTTTTAAAGATTGCATTTATTTTAGAGAGAATGAGCATGAGCAGGGGAGAGTAAGAGGGAGAAGCAGATTCCCTACTGTACAAGGAGCTGATGCAGGACTCAATCCGAGGACCCTGAGATCATGATCTAAGCAGAAGGCAGACATTTTACTGTCGGAGCCACCCAGGCACCTCCCCCCCCCCTTTTAAAAGATTTTAAGTAATTTCTATACCAAACATGGGGCTCAAACTTAAAACCCTGAAATTGTGTCACATACTCTACTGAGTGAGCCAATCTGGTGCCCCTGGGTCAAATATCTCCTAAGTACCATGTGCCATGTGTTAGGTGCTGGCATTAAACAAAAATTCTGCACTTGTTAATGTTACTTCTGAGTGCTAAGAACCTAAGTTTCAAGTTGCATATAATTCATCAGTGTATTATTAGTTATCTGTGAAATTGTAGAAGAGTCTCACTCAACTCCTCCGGGCCTCAGTTTCCTCTACTTGCAAAATATTGTTCCATCCTTGATGGAACAGTTTTAAAGCAGTTTGAGTAGGACTCTGAAACTGCATCGTGTTATCAATGAAGAAATTAAAAAGAAAAAAGAAATATCTAACACATCTACATATTCTCAAACTTTTGAATTACTGTCCTTATATTAGTTTCAAAACCACATGCAACGACTACCAGGTATTGCAGATAGCTCAACCGGTCTGATCAATTAGTCATATAGGAATAAAATTACCTTGAAATCAACATACTCTTATCTAAAAGTAAGTCTTTCAGTGTGTACTCTGAACAGGATGAGAGGCCTAATCACAGGTTAACATAAGAAATATTTGTCTCAAAATAATGCATTTGACAAGTCTCATCATTAAAATTCCTTTTATTTTTCCTTCAGAGAAAATGAAATATTCCTGAAGACCTGAATCAATTATTTCTTCTTAGTTTTCCAGCAGCTGTCATTTGTCTTCTTTTGGTCTGTTCAGTAGAAAGTGAACTATCTGAAGTAGGACATCGTCATTAAAACCTTTCACATTATTATCCTCAATTGTTTCATAAAGAGGTTTACTTTGTGTCCCCCAACATATATTTTTACGAGGGTTATTTTGATCAGCTTGCGTAGTCAGTGCCAAAGTATTTAACTGGTAGCAAAAAAAGGAAAAGTACTTTCCATCTGTGATCACGCCCTGAGAGACAAAAGGCCGAGTAACATCTGCTTCACTCCAAAATCCTACAGAAAAAAGTTATACTGAAATTTACACAGAATATACTTTACCAAAACAAAACATTTGCACATTAGAGGGTATCAAATATTCCCTATAACCTAGATATTTTACCTACCAAATTCCTGAAGATCTCAAAGTTTTCCTCATCTTCTCCAATCTAATCTTATATTCTATTTCTGCATCAAAAATTATCCCCTCCCTTCTAATATCCCCAAACTTACAACACATTCTCAATAACTTCGGTCTTCAACAGCTTTCTACCTCAAGTCACTTTATTTAAAAAAAAAAAAAAAAAAAAAAAGGCAGCAAGACCTTTCAGTGCAGATCTCTCCTACATCTGGTACTAACTACCTTCAAATACACTAATTTTCCTGGTACGGTACCATCTAGCACCTAATAACCATTATGGCCATTTACTTCACCAAATCTATAAAAAAAAAAAATCAGAAAAAAAAAGGACTTTTTAAGGACTTCAATCACATCCTCAAATTGTTCTTCCTTTACATATTCTGAAATTGGTTTTATGCCTTGGTGTCGTGTCATAGGTTGCAGGATGCTTTTAAATACCTTTACTACTCAAATTTTCTGGCTGCTTCTTCTTCTAGATTGACTGGCTTTAACACTTTTAAATCCCACTGCCAGGCCAAGCAGTTTTTTTTCCTTCTACATATTTTCTATCAGCCTTAATGAAGACAGTCAATGAATAATATGGTTAGCACCTGTAATTAATTATAGGAAAAAAAGCACTTTACGTTAGACGTTCTAACTAACGTCTTTGAGAAATATTCCTCCATTTCTGCTTCATTCTTAATCCTATTCTTATTCTCTCCATTTAAGTCAACAATTTTGAGTAAAGGATTAAAATAAATTATATACATATAATGAAGAAAACAAGGTGAGCCTAGAAATAATTAAATCTGTATTAAATTCCTCCTGGGAACTCATATAGGATTAATCTGGTTACACATTACAGTTTATTACTTCAGGTTTTGTAATAAAATCCAAATGCCTCCCAGCAGGCTCTCAAAGTCCTCTTGATATGGCCTCTGGCTTCCTTTATCTGATCCTGCATCACTCTCCTCTTTCCCTTTCTTCATTGTTCTTTAAATACTTCAAGTCCATTCCTACCTCAGAGACTTTTACTTGTATTCCTTTTGCCTGGAAGTGTCTTTCCTCCAAGTTTATGCTTAGGCAGCTATTCAACAGTCAGGTCTTTGTTCAAATACCACTTTTTAGAGACCTCCCCTCAATTACTCCATTTACTTTTGTTTTTGAAAATATTTTATTTAAATTCAATTTGCCAACATATAGTGTAACATGAATAACTCCATTTAAATACATTCAGCCCCTTATCTCATTTATACCTATACCTTGTAAGTCATTCTATCCCTTATACAGTATATTTCCTCCACACTACTACCACTAACTAAAAATACTACATGTTTATTATCTTTTACTCTCCTCACTGTAAGTTCAGTGACAGCAAGACAGGACAGCAGGATCTGCCTGCATCATTCAACACTACATCTCCAAGGCCAACACTGCTTGGTTCCAAAAAGCATTCACTATTTACTGAATGAATAAATAATCTCTTAATCCACATTTTGCATATAGCCTTCAAAGATATTATACAGAAGAGTTGTGATTTAATATAAAATTAAATCCACCAAAGCACTTCTCTTTCCAGCATCAGAGAGCTGTTATGATCTCCAGAGTTGACTTAGTTGGCTATAGTCATTCATGTGCCTAAGGGCATCAGAAAAAAATATTTACACAAAAGTGGTCAAAGTAAAAGATTAAAAAAACTAAACACCACTTGCCAATTGCAAATGTAAAATATTTAATTACAAATTTTAAAACTACTGTATTTTGTCATTGAAAATTTTCAAAATGTTAAGATTCAACTTATACTTAACCCAGAGAAACCACTAAATTCTTAAAATGTCACAGGTATCTTCCAAGAATAATGCCACAAAATTAGTTTTACCTTGATACATAGCTTGTGCTCCAGTCCAAGCAAAGAGGCTTGCAATAGCATTAGCTCTAAAAACAACTTCTATCTGATCAGCACAGTTCCTTTTCAAAAGCCTTTCCCTTTTTAATTTGTCAGGTAATAGATGAAACTGTGTGTGACCATAACAGTATGGATCTGCTGTCTTTGAGCCTGAAGAGCAAAAAAAAAAAAAAAAAAATTTCAGATGAAATGTGCATGTGAACATCTAGAGCATACGTCCTTAGTTTCTGCTTCAAACTCATCTTTCTCCTCTACACGTTGTGTGATCAGTATTCAAAATACACAAGTGGCAAAGTTGATTTACTTCATTGGTTATAGAATGAAGTTAAACTTCACGTGAAAGTACAACCTGCTAGCTATCATCAAGCCCACTATGATGACACAGGATAAACCAAAAGAATGTATGTAAATTTATTTAAAATTCCCTGTTCTGGGACGACTGGGTGGCTCAGGGATTTAGCGCCTGCTTCCGGCCCAGGGCGTGTTCCTGGAGTCTCAGGATGGAGTCTCACATCAGGCTCACTGCATGGAGCCTGCTTCTCCCTCTGCCTGTGTCTCCGCCTCTCTCTCTGTGTGTCCTCTCATGAACAAATATAATCTTTAAAATAAATAAAATAAATAAAATTCCGTTAGTTTTTTCAAATCTTTTATTCATCTTTGGGAGCTACATTATTTTCCTTGTCTTATGCACCAAATGATAAAAACATTTCATTAGTCTCCACCTTGTTCCTAACATTTTTTGGAAAATTATTTTTATACTATATTTCCATGTAAGGAAAATGAGAGCCAATATTTCATGAAATGCTGATATTCTTGACTTTGATAGTAAAATCTTTGCAATCAAAATTTCCCATAATTCACACTCTAAGACCACGATGACACAGAATGGGCTGATAAAATACATCTGGAAGACTAGTATAAAGCTAGTTTAAAATTTTCAAGTTAACTATGAATTAATAGACAAAAAGACAGCAAAAGTATAAGCTACACAAGGACAGACACCAGGCCTTATTAATTTTTATATTCTTAATGGTTCTCACAGTGTGTGGCATAAACAGATTTTATCTATTTATCTATCTATTTATCTATCTATTTTCAAACAGAAGGTTTTAATAAAAAAGCCAATCACTGCCTCAAGTCTGGTCCTATACTGGTTTACTTTTGAAAAAGGACAAATTACTTTTTCTGCATAATAAATCAACAAAACCTAACATGTAAAACTATTTTTTAAAGTTAAATGCTGCTACCTCAGTAGAAACAAAATTTTAAATGGTGAGATGAAAGAGTATTTTTCCCCAATTTTCGTGCATATTACAATAACCTGAGATTATGAATTACATTGCTTGTAAACTACCTGAACCTCTTCGTCATCAAGAATTATATGGTACATCTGCACAGGAGCCTCTACACAATGATGGCACAATATTTCAAAAGAAAAACTTACCAATAAATATGGTATTTTCAAATTGTCGTTTGAATAATGGAAGTTTGTCTGGCTTACAAGTCATAACAGGGATTTCGATGGGTATAGAATAATCCAGTGGCACAAACTTAAAGAAAAAGAAGAGTCATAAATAAATTCACAACACTAGTACAGTGTACATATTTTACTCACATTCTTTATAGATTTAAGAATCTTAAAATAAGATATTTTTCACAAAATGATTTGGTAACACTACCATCTATCAATGGGCCAAATCCAGCCAGTCACCTGATTATACAAATAGTTTTATTGCAACACAGTCATGCACATTCATTTACATATGGTATGTAACTGCTTTTACACTATTTAAGAATTAAGATGAATAGCTGCAACACAGACTTATGGTCCCAAAGCCTAAGATATTCACTGCCTGGACCTTTACAGAATAAAACGTAAGAGAGAGAGAGTGAGTGTGTGTGTGTGGGTGTGTGTGTGTACAGACACACAGACATCACTCAAATATACTTATTTTCTCCAGAAGAACCATAAATATAAAAAATGACCAGCTTACAATGATAAAAATGCCTTGATTTATGATTAGGTAGTATAGTGTATTATAAATTACAAACATAAACTACTATCAATTGTTTATATATATTTTTAAAGATTCTATTTATTTCAAGAGTGAGTCTGTGAGAGGACACAATGGGGGGAGGGGCAGAGAGAGGGAGAAGCAGACTACTTTGCTGAGTAGGGAGCCCAGGACCAAGGGTAAGATCACAGGATCAAGGGATCATGATCTGAGCCAATGGCAGACGCTTAACCGAATGAGCCACCCAGGTACCCCATATTTTTATCGTAAGAAAAGATCTGTATGGTCCTCAAAACTGATGCCTTAACCCTGTTTAAAAATGATTGACATTTGAGAACTATACATACCATAATAGGTTAAAAAGTGAAAAAGCGTTTATCCTACGAAGCCCATTACTTAAGCTACCTATGACATTTCCTCACCAGATGTCAGTAGATATAAATGCAGTAATTCCTTACCTCTGGGAGTTGTTTGGATATTCGAATCTGGTTGTGTGGTTTATCATTTATTTGGTATCGTAAAGCATCAACTCGACCTTTCCGATGACCCTTAGAAATAATTTCTTCACCTCGCAACCAGTAAAAGTGAACTGGGCGCTTATGATCTGTCAAAATATAATTCAAAATTTTCTTATTTAATAATTTAGATAAGTTTGGTTATTATTTGAATACCAACAATATAGAACTTAAGAATAATTGTTCAAATTAAAAATTATCAAAAATTACATTTGATGGAAGATGGAGTCTGGGTTATATGATGATTTACCTTAAGATGACTGTGACTTAATGCTCAAACATTTATTGTCTAGTTGTGCCATCCATCATACACAAAACACTGTAATGGAAGAGGTTTCTCAGTTAAGAATAAACTGTAAAGGAAATAAGACCAACAGGAATATCGCTCGCCAGAAATAAAAAGTTTTTATAGGAGTCACAATTACTAAATCAATCTTCACAATAACTCTCAAAGGAATGTACAGTTGTCATCACCTCCATTTTTTTGTAGAGGAATCTGAGTCTTGACAAAGTCAAGTAAGTTTTCCTAGGCCAACAATCAAGAGTAGTCAACATCCACCAGGCTTCTCTCAAGACCACTTCCTTCCCAACTGAGACAGAAATAACATGCACACTACAAGACTCAGTTGAGCACACATCTACAGTTGTAACATTAATTCAACAAATATTTATTAAGACACCTACCAGGCGGTAGATCTAAAATAATCAATATCTTGGAAACACGTATTTTTAAGACTGTCCGTTAATGTTTCATGACTGCACGTAACAGTTAATAGAAGTTGCTGATTGTTTCCTGGGAACCCAAAATGGCTAGGTTTGAATCCTGAACTCCCATCTACCAGCTACAGGTTCTCTGACGAAGTTCATTTTACCTTTCTGTACCTCAGGTTGGTTCTTCCCCCATTTATAAAACAGTGCTACCTCCTATAAACGGTTACTGTGAGGTTTAAACTGGTTGGCACATACAAGATTCAGAACGGGGCCTGGTACATAGTAAGCACCGGGTAAACGCCAGGTATTTTAGTCAGCATCACCTCAACGTTCACAATCCTACAATACAGTACTATTACTGTAAATCTCCTCTTGGAAATGAGAAAAAGTAGGCTAAAAGAGGTTCATGAGCTGACATACAGTCATGTAACCTTTTGGTGGAAGGCCCAAAGCCAACAGCGCCAGGCCTGTCCCTTCCCCGGAGCAACACTGCTCTTCCATTTGGCTGGACCTTCACGAAGCAGAAGGACTGGAGTCGTGGAAGGTTGCACGGCTAGTAAGCAGGGTAGCAGCACAGGCCCCAGAACCCAGGCTCCAGAGTCTTGGCGCAGGGACTGCATTAAACCCGGGGGGCGGGGGCGCCCAGCAAGGCGCGAAGGACTGGGGGAAAACGAACAAGGCAGAGAAAGGAAGAGAGGCGCAGTCCCCACCTCCCCGGGCCGGCGTGGCTGCCGCAAGGCTCACCGAGGGCGGCGGTGGCCAGCACCGGGTTCTGCGCGCTGAGCAGGCCCACGAGGGCGGCCACCAGCTGATCCAGGAAGGGCGAGGCCAGAGCCTCGCGGTCCCGGTAGACGGGCGGGCGCCGCTTGCGCCGCAGGTAGAAGTGCTCCTGCAGGAGGCCGTCACACGCCGCGGCGCGCAGGGCCTCGAGGTCCAGGGCGGGCGCGGGCTCGGCGGGCTCGGCGGGCTCGGCGGGCGGCGGCAGGCCCGACAGGAAGGCGGTCTTGGTGAAGCCCTGGTACCAGCGGTCGGCGTTCAGGGCGAAAGTCTGCGGGTAAACCACGTACTTCGTGAACTGCATCTTGGTGAGAATGCGCAGCTTCTCGTCCACCGACTCGGCCGCGTGCACCGACGCCTGCCACCGCTCCACTCGCCGCTGGCGTGCCGCCTTGCTCTTGGCGGTCAGGGAGGCCACAATCGGCGGGTAGCGCGCCACGGGGGCCGCCGTGACATCGGGGCCGGTCACTTCTGGAGCCGTGACGGCGGCCTGGGCCGCAGTGTGCAGCGAGGGCCCCCGCCCGCGGAGCGCGAGCCTGGAGCACCTGGCCGCCGCCATCTTTGCCCGGGGGTGGGGGTTCGGGCCCGGAAGTTAACCTCAGCACACGGCGCGGCGCTCTGGCCGTAAGGACCAATCGGAAGCGGCGTTTGAGCCGGGCTTGGGGAGGCCGATTCTCAGTGGGCCTGAGGGGTGTTGCGTCATTCACTTCTTAACCAATCAGATCACTTCTTCGACTTCGTTTCCGGCGCGCCGGGCGTTTGTAGGCCGACGGCGGATCCTGCGCGCGCCGGTAGGTTTCCCTCGGGCCTAGCGGGGAAGAGGAGGCTTTCGCGGAGGAGTTGGCTGCCGCCCGGGTTGGCCTCTTGTCAGATTTCGCTTGGAACGTTCTGCGCCGGGACCTTGAGCCCTTGGTTAAATTTACCGGTTTCATTTGTGTGAGGCGCAGCCCACCTCGTGAGTGTGTTGGTTCTTAGGGTTGGAATTTATTGAAAATAGTGTTTTAACATGTTTTATTGATAATACATGCTTTTTTTTTTTTTTTTTTTAATGATGGAAGCATCGTTTACGGATGACCACTGCTAATCTTTGGGGGAAAAAATTCCATGTTTCTCTATGCTAATTGATACATAATTTGTTTAATTTACTTTAATCCCTTTAATTTACAAAAGGAATATACGCACACTTGGATTTAACGGGGGGGGGGTGTGCAAAAGAAAATAACAACAATAAAAGTAATCTAAAGAATTGTGTTCGTATTTTGCTCTGTATTAAAACTCACTGTTGATCGCACATGAGTCAGTTCCTGCTAATCTGTCAGCAGTTTGAGAAAAGCAACTGTTTTACTTTTAATCCTTAGCAGTCAATCAATACCTGTGGGTAGTGGGTAGTCACTAAATACCTGCTGAAAAAGGTCCCCTAAATAAAAATTTAAGCTCATTTCAGGTCATGTAATTTATTGACTCTATCTTTTATAGCCAAGACCTGGAAAAATACTTATTTGGATTTATTGCAGTAATTCTTTTTTTTTTTTTTTTGGTTTTAAACTTAGACGTTTATTTTTTTTAAAATTTTTTATTTATTTTATGATAGTCACACAGAGAGAGAGAGAGAAAGAGGCAGAGACACAGGCAGAGGGAGAAGCAGGCTCCATGCACCGGGAGCCCGACGTGGGATTCCATCCCGGGTCTCCAGGATCGCGCCCTGGGCCAAAGCCAGGCGCCAAACCGCTGCGCCACCCAAGGATCCCTATTGCAGTAATTCTTGAGGGTATTGAAAACCAAACATTTTGTCGCTAAAAGGAAGTTATGCCTTTTGCGTTAGAAGTGATGGTGCAATTTGACTATGAAGTTGCAGGTCTGTTAAACTGACATTTAGAAATACATACTTGAAATTCATTACAATAATACCTTCTGTGAGAAGCTGCTAGCAGAATCTCAGATACCCTTTCGACATTAACACAACAAAAGGAGGACATAAAAGAGTTAAGATCCTTAAACCTTATTCAGTATTTGAAAGATGAAAAGTGAGGTGCTCAGCATTACCTAAATTGAAGTGACACTTATTTGTGTGAAAAAAAATAATAAATATATCTCATATGCTTTTATACTTATTTCGGTCAGTGAATCAAAATAATTCCAATTTATCCAATATTTGCTGATTATCAACATCATGAACCATGGAGGGAGGCTCTGGGAAAGGAAAGAACATGCGTAGTGAAGGTTGGGGCAGGACCATATAGTATAAACACAAGAGTATACGGGTGAGAAAGAATCAAGCATGGACCATGGAAGTAAGTAGGCTTTCCTTCTAGTATGATCCAAAGCTTTTATATTAACACACAGAGAAAGAGATATAAAGCCAGTCATCTATCATGGCAAGAGCGGTATTGGGACTGAAATCCAGTTACCTGCCTCTGTCAGTTTTATTCAGTGAACAGTTGTGTTAGGTGGTGAACTAAGTGCTCAGGGTACTGTAAACCAAACAGACGAAAGCTTCACTCTAACAGAAGGAAACATACAGTGCAATATAAAAAATAAGTAAATGAAATGATTTGTTAAAAGTAGGTAAATGCTATGGGAAAAATGGGGCAAGGGAAGTAAGGAGCATCAAAGCAGTCTCCAGAGAGAGGGTTTGCTTGGAATTTAAAGTGTGTGGTCAGCATCACACTCATGGCAAAGATGACACTAAAGGCCTGAAGGAAGCGAGGAAGGGACTGAGGCCAATATCTAGGGAAGGAGGATTCCAGCAGGAAGAACAGCTGGTGCAGAGATGCTGATGTGGGAACCTGCCTGCTGGGCTCAGGAACCAGGAAGGAGGCCAGTGGCACTGATAGATGGTGGAGCGTAGAAGGAAATGGGTTAGGAGGAAAAGGAGCCAGAATTTGGAGGTTCCCAGAGGCAATTGCTAGGATTGTTAAGGCTCTTAATAGTCTGAGAGGAATGGGAAAGCATTGGAAGTTTCTACTCAGAGGAAGGTCCACAGTATGATTTAAGTTTTAAAATAATTACTCCATGTATTAGGCAGTGATGTGCTTAAACAACAGAAATTTATTTCCTCCTAGTTCTAAAGACTGGAAATCTGAGATCAGGGTGACAGCATAGTTTGGCTCTGGTGAGAGCTCTCTTCCTGGCTGGAAGACAATTGCCTTCAGAATTCCTGGGTGGCTTAGTTGGTTAAACATCTGCCTCCTGCTCAGGTCACGATCCCAGGGTCCTGGGATCGAGCCCCACATCAGGCTCCTTGCTCAGTGGGGAGCCTGCTTCTCCCTCTGCTGCTCCCCTTGCTTGTGCTCTCTCTCTCTCTCTGACGAATAAATGAAATCTTAAAAAAAAAAAAAATGGAAAAGATAGCTGTCTATAATATCCTCACATGGCAGCAAAAGTCTGAGTTCGCTGGTATCTTTTACTATAAGGAGAGGCCTATCAGATTAGTGTCCTAAGCTTAGGACTTCATTTAACCTTAATGACTTCCATAAAGGCTCTGTCTCCATATACAGTCACATTGGGGGGTACAGTTTAAACATGAATTTTAGGACATAATTCAGTCCAGAATACTATGGCTGATTAGGAAATAAAGATTGTGGAGGGTCAAATTTGAAAGCAGGGAAACCAAGTTAGGAGATAATTTGCCATGTTTCAGGAAAGAGCTGATTGTGGCCAGCAGGGACAATAGCAACAATACTGAGAGTGGTTACAGATTCTCAACTGAATGTAGGTAGGAGAAAGTCTCCAAAATTTGGAGCCTGGACAGTCAAATAAGAGAAGGCCTGTGAACAAAAGATGCATTTTTCCTTTACTCTCTTATCTTTTTACTGGGGTGGGCGTTGGAGAGAGGGAGTTGATTTGGGAAGGAAATAGAATTTGTGAAACCTGAAATTATCTGTATGTGTTTATTTAATTGACATTCTCCTAGAAGAAAATAGATATTAAGATCTTCCCTATTAAGGTTGCCACTGGTCTTAGGTTTAAATTTAAATGTAAAATTATTAGAAAAAATAAAATAAAATAAATAAAATAAAATAAAATAATTAGAAAAAAATAAGAGAAAAAACCTGTAGGTGCTGGGACTAGACAGAGAGTTCTTGGAGTTGACCAAAAGCATGATCTATAAAATGAAAAGTTAAGAAATGGGGCATCATCAAAACTTTTGCTTTGCCAAATACCCTATTAATATTAATATGAGCACTGGGTATTGTATGTAAGTGATAAACCATTGAATTCTCCTGAAACCAATATTGCACTATATGTTAACTACTTAGAATTTAAATAGAAATTTGAAAAAAAAAATGAGTGAATAAAAATACCCTGTTTAAGGGTAGAAAAGATAAGCTATAGAGTGAGTGAAAATTTATACATATAATAAGCTAGAGTGAGCAAACCATATATCTGATCAACAACTAGTATCTGGCTCTGTCACTTTCACATTCCTTATTTAGACCAGATTAATAGTACCCACTTTACAAATTTGTTACAGGGATATATGAGGCGACATACGTAAAATGATGCAAAACAACATTTGTTGAGTACCAAATACTTTATATATGTCAATGGTTTTAATTCCCTCAGCAACATTTTAAATCAGAACTGATTTTCCTGAGAGGTAAGACATTTGCTCAAGCTCACAAGCGCCAGAACCAGCCTTAAACCATGATCTCTGACCATGAAGACCATGGTTTTGTACATTAGAATGATACTCTGGAAGAGATCCAGGAATTCTTAAAAGGTAGTAAGTCAACTGCCTAAGGCTGTATGTACAATTTAGTAATAATAGGAAATTGGGATAATATGAAAGTCACCTATAATACTAAGTATGAAAGAAAATATTTCAAAATATTGACCAGTTCATGATTCTTCCTATCCAAGAAGTAAGCAACACGAGAGAAACAAATATTTTCTCTTGGCCTAAAAATCTTACCGGAAATATAGGGATAATAGGACAGCATAGCAATGGTCAAGCCGAGTTTTAATTTTGCTAAGCTACTCAACATAGGAGATCACAGTGGAATATTTATAAATAATGTTAACATTATACCAGAAGAAAACCTAAATCAACTCAAAATTACATAGATGGTGGGGATAAGTGTCAGAAAGTTGACTACCACAGCAAATATATTTCTAATTTTGCTCCCATGAAATTTCAACTTTTATTATAATCAGTATAGAGTCCTCCACTGTGATTGTGAATCACACACTTGTGAATCACTGTGAATGAAGCCCACTCGAGGCTTTATTATCCTGCAAATCTAACAACAAGAAAAATATGCTCAGGTTGGGGATCCCTGGGTGGCTCAGTGGTTTAGCGCCTGCCCTCTGCCCAGGGTGTGATACTGGAGTCCCGGGATGGAGTTCTGCATCAGGCTCCCTACATGGAGCCTACTCCTCCCTCTGCCTATGTCTCTGCCTCTCTCTCTCTCTCTGTGTTTCTCATGAATAAATAAATAAAATATTTTTTAAAAAGAAAAAATATGATCAGGCAAAGGATGATTTACTAAATGAAAAATAGAATTGAGATCAATATTTATAGTACATATCAATAGCATAATGTTGCAATTTCCCACAGAAAGTAAGGTTAGTACGTCAATCGAAAAAAATCACAAAGTTTATCAAATTCCAGAGCAAATTTTTTACCCTAGGCACAAAGATTATAGGAATAAACTGGGGTGCTTTTCTTACTGATATTTCAGATCATGATTATAACATAGCACCAAGCTGTGGGA